CAATCTGGATGATAACTTGGGACTACATTTTTATGAAACGCCTCAAATACAAAATTAAACACTTGTGTTGGTGTGACCCTATTTGTAGTAGAGCAACGTACAGAAGGAGTATGCATGGGAATATCATTCACACTCCTCCCTGCTTATATTTTAAACAGAACCTGACCTACTTTGTACTTGTTCACTTTTTCTTCTGTTTATTTTCACTGCTGTACGAACTATTAGATAAGTGTATCATTAATGAGCAGAAAGTTCGTATCTGCATTTTGCTTCTTGTTATGTATGAACAAGCAGCAACACTCACCCTGGTCTGATTGCCCAGGCCAATGCTATTCACTCTCTGGTGGTTCATAGCATCTCAGAACATTTTCCAGCAGAAACTGTGCAATGTTAATAGAAAATGAACCATACACGAATCTACTTCCCTAGGCATATGGTAAGTGTGTGCTGCTGTTGCTCTGGGAACTTGTGGACAGTCAGTATTCTTGCAGGCAGGGATAAGGCCATGCTTCATATTCTTCATGTTCAGTATTTTAAATTAAAATGTCCTTAATAGGATTAGTTCTATATAATACTAAAATTATGCTTATATTTAAATGCAAGATGGAAGCCACCCTTGTCCACCAGCCAGTGAAGAAAATTCTACAGAAAGAAAACAGGGTAAAAAATGCACCTCTTTTCGCATTTGCAATAATAACCATGACAAGAAATGTCAGAGGCGTTGTAAAACGTACCAAACAGACACGTGGTAGTCAGATGCATGTGTTACAGATATATATGTTACACCTACACATCCAGAAGTTAGGGCTAGGAATTCTTCTGCCCTGATACAGATTTTACGTCTGCAGAGGTCTACGTCTGACCCAGCTCTCCAATGCTCCCTGGATTGTCAATGGGTAGAAAGAGGCACCTGTGAGGCACATTTCTAGGTTGTGCAAAAGCAGAAGTCTTCAGTCAGTCAGATGAACCATAGTACTGAAGTGCAAGTACTCTCTTTTCTGGGGAAGAGGGAAAGCAAATTGATTTACTAGCTTAGTTGTAGACATTTACAGTTAGATCAGACAAATTACATTATAGATTTTTGGGAGAGGAGTAACATTGCCTAGCCTTTTCCAAAATAACAGCTGAACTCCGGTCCCTGTGGCATTCAAGGATTCTTTTTACTGTGGACTTAAAAAGGACAAGATTGATACGGTTTGCTGCATTTATTCAGTGCCCTTTAGCGAAAGAAAGATGTAATTTGAGTGCTCAATAAATCAGATTTTTCTGCATGTCTTTAAAATAAATGAGTTGGGTTCACTTTCCAAAGACATCTGTCTAGTGCCATTTTAGACAGCCTACATGGTCTCCGGTGGCTTCTTTAGAAGGTCATGGCTCTTCCAAATCTCCAGTGTCACTGCCTGATGGCCATGTGCAGGTTCCTCTGACAACCTAGTCTGTCTACAATAGCACTAGTTGCTATATTTAGTCAACTGAATCTCCACAAATAATTACAAAAAAAGGCTTGTAAGCAATGCTAGACTACACAATGTTTGTAGGAACAAGTGTCTCGGTTCCCCATGGGCATTGAGTCCACAGCTGCACTGCAGCATCTGTCTCCAAAAGAAGTCACTGAGTCAAAATGGTCAAGTGTAGAGAAAGATGATAATCAACTGAAATACTGTGTTATTTACTGATGGGAAGAAATCATGATTCAGGCAGCATATCCTCAACTCATGTTGATCAACTGTTCCTAGCACTTATGAAAATATTCTGTAGCCAGTTTTATGCTGTGATGAGATGTTAAGTGGCTTAAAATACATTCTGATGTGCCAGAAACAAATGTTCAGCATGGCCCCACCACAAAACTCCACTCCAGGTCTACACAGGCTACATACGTTGCAGAAGAACTACTTTAGAAATGGTTTACTAAATGTGGCAAATGCAAGTGCTGTAGATTTTAAATGGAAATGCTCTGTAAAATCTGTTGCTGATGGGTTTAGTAAATGTTCTTGAAGGTGGATAACTGAAAATGATACAGTCTGATGCAAAGAAGCCAAGAAACATACACTTCTATTCTTCTTCCAACCATTGCGTAGTCTTTATTAAGCAGAATATTAAATTAAATGTGAACAGCATTTGTCTCCTAAAATTCAATTTTTCTGAGCATACGTCAGATAAAGTCCATTCCATCTTCTGTCTGACTTTTAACTGCGTGCTAATGCAGTATCTATTGCAAACTGCATATAGTAGGAAAAAAATGATGGGATACTCATCTGGATTCAGAGTAAGGCATCCAAAATAAATTTGAGGAAAATGACCTTAATTCAGCAAAGTGCTTCAGCTTTAAGCATGCAAATAGCCAATGAATCACATGCTTAAAGTAAGACTTATGTATGTGCTTCTTGCTAAATTAGGCATAAATTATGTCTCCACATCAAACAGCAGCAAAAGCCCAGTAGAAAGACAAAACAAAACAAAAAACACAAAGAAGAGATGACCATGAAAGCTTTGGTTCAGAAGCAATGCTTTCTCAGATGTAATACAGTCCACATAAGGTCTGTTTTGTTTTTACTCAGTCACTTTATTATTTATTGCTCAGTATCAAAAGGAATCAAACTGACATTGATTAAAGGCCATTGTGAGTTGTAGGTAATATTCATATAATTCTTTGAATAGTATGATGCACATTGTAGGGATAAATTGAAATCGTAGAAGACTGAAGGAGGGAATCACAGTATGATGCAATCATGTAAACAATAGCACATATGTATAGATTAATACAAATTTCCTTTGCCCACTTGACAGGCCTGATCAAAAGTAGCAAATATTTTACTTCTAACAAACACTTGAGTTTGTCCTTTGAATGGGTGAATATAAAAAAAATAAATCTTATAAAGCAGAGTGGATTAATATGTCTCTACTGCTTTTCTTCTTGATCTTTAAGGCTTATCAGAATCCTCTGTCCTCCCACTAAGTTTATTGGTTACTTAGGAAAATGAGCTAAGTGAAAAAAACCCATGTATAAATTGCTGATATTCCCACAGAAGATATGAAATCAGATACTTTTGATCAGCCAGGAGGACATTAATAATTGGTATAGGCCACATCATATTACTATAAAGGTCCATGTTTAAGCAGATGATGCCCCTGCAACTTCTGCCTCTGCAATTAAGTGATACGTAAGAGCTGCAAAATGTGTCTCTCAGAGGTTGAAGACTGATCTGCTCTGTGAACTTCTGGTCATGTGTAGAGTTGCCCTGGATTTCATAAGGCTTTGAGTAAGATCAGCTATTCGAATAGGGCAACTCAACTATGAGACCTGGGTTGCGAAACACAGATTCAGACTGCTTTATTATACGGAAGCAGAACTGATGATAGGTTGTTTTTAGAAATAGTGTCAACTTTGCAAAGGCCTATACTAACCTGGCAGCATCTGAATTTCTTCTTGCAGTATCAGTATTTAGGACATCAATTTGGGGTTAATCGCAGTAAAGACTGGAATTCAGTCTCGAGCTGGTCAAATAAGGCATAAATTCAGCAGGGAGCTTTGGGATAGGACTTAATCTCTACATCATAATAAATGCTAAGCTGTTTAAGTGTATTTGGTGCAATTACATCCAATTAAATACTGGGAAATGAGGTTCCCTGTCTTTAAACACCGTAAGGCCACTGCTCTACAGCAGGATTGGCACTGGCTGACATTTATCCTTTGGGCAAGATCCATAGGTCTCACGGACTGCTCTCCAGGTACCAAAATGTTCATATGCCCAAAACATGTTTGAAGACGGAGGCTTACATGGACAAAACAGACCCGTCTGCACAGTCTAACTGGGATGGAGAGGATTTACGGGATGCTCACGGTGGTTTATGCCAAGGAGGAGTTCATGTCAGTGTATTTACTACTGAATCTGCAAAACTTCTGTTTAACAAATGAAAAAGATGACTTTGGTGTGTGAACACAATGCTAAGACACTCAGTGTCTTTCTGTCATGAGTTCTGGATTTCCATAATTACAGACTTCACTTCTATGTGCAGTCTGTCCTTTCCTAGAATTTTTAGTCTTCCAAGGGGGTTAGTTAGCCATTTTACATTTTATAAATAGGATTAATATATAAAATCTTTTAAGTGCAATAAACACAGAAAAATATAAAACATTTTAAGCCTGTGGCTCTCTCCCAGCATTTCACCCATTTTCTGTATCACCAGATAAAGGTGCAGGAAACACAGAGGGTTGCTTCCAAGCAGGCTTGTGAATTGTAGGACCAGCTATTTTTGTGAGCTATGAGAGCAGCCATCACACCCGACATACGCTGGGGGCTTTTGTTCGCATACAGGGAAAAACAAAGGACACACGAGTTCGCCACTCTTTCATATGGGAAGATTGCACAGAAAGAGAAAGCTGCCGACTTCCAGGGCACAGTGCATTTCTTGGACTAACGTTCACATGGTGTTTCCAAATTGCTTTGTTATGAGACTAAACACCAGGATTAAACGCTTAAACTGATCGGTTGATACCGGGGACGAAACTGTAGAACCACAGCCACACTTTACTACAAGCATTGGACTGTAGTACGAGGACAGTTTGAATGGTATTTTTCCCCCCTCCCCCCTAAATACACACTTCAAACAAGAAAGCAGTCCAACAGTTTTCTAAGACACAAGAACAGGACATGAATTTAGTCCTTCAGAACAAGCTGTCTGTCTCCAGCAGGGTCGTAACAGCCATCTTGCAGCAGAAATCAGCCCAGACTTTTTTTCCTTACCTTATTCCTGTTAGTATCCAAGGATCTCCCATTTCCCTAGTGGTTTCTGACTGTATTTTCATTCAGTCATTCCACTTTTCTTATCTCTTAGTGTTGTTGTGGCAGTCTAAATGTCTTTTTCTTCTTGTAGTTGCAGTTTTCTCACTATTTCCCTGAACATCTGCAAGACAGCCCATCTGGGTTGACACAGTGTGAGATGAGGCAGACAGGCATTGCCAACAAAGGGCTCCTACTGCAGCAAGCGGGCTGTTGAAATCAGATGTTTTCTAAGACATCTATGGGGACAAAGCCTTTCTTCTTCCCGCTGTATACTTTGATAAAGCCATCATGTTCCTTTTCAGAAGTGACACAAATCTGAATGCAAAGAAAAGTAGGAAAACAATAAACTCTTTGCCATGATCAAGTGACAATTATTCCAGGCTATTTATCAGATGGGTTAGACATCCTGCTAGTTAATTCTGTAAGTAGAACAATCCTTTTCAGACTCTCACTGCTTTGATAAGAAACTCAAACTCATACATTTACGGAATTTCCTTTCCCCCTCCCTTCTTAAAGTGCCACATATACATGAGAGACATTAAAATCATTAAGAACACTGTAGTGGATCAAAGATTTTGAAACCTGAATTAGGACTTCAGCCTACTGCAATGATGGAGATTTAGTTGTCTCTGTATGAGAGGATTGGGTATTTCAGACTCATGAGCTCATATCATGAGCTAGCTGGCTCCCTCAACAGTTGGTGGTGAAAAGTAGTCATGATGCCAAGGTGGGTCACTCATAGCAGCTGATCTGAATGTAAGCATATTCTCTTGTGTGTGTTTAAGGAGCCCAGGTACTTCTCAGATGGGCAGTGGGTTATGTTATTTACTCAGCTCTTGCACCTACAGGTGCCTGTGCCTGTTGCGGATACCAAAGTATTTGATCTGAATCCAGCTCTGCGAGCGTGTTTGCGTTAAGACCTACTCCAAACGGTGAAGCCAATATGGTCTTTACAATAGTACAGATATTACATGATGGTAAAGTTTTGCATTTCCTGAAGGCCTTCGTGATCTCAGGTATTTCAATTTTAGGGCCCATCCTGAGGTACTTTTGGTAATGGCTGAGCCATTTGAAAGCCTAGTGGCACAGGTACTTTAGACTGGGCACTTGAGCACACAGCCACACAAAATAAAGAATTGTTTTCAAACATCTGTGCCAAGGAAGTATGCAATCAAACAAGGTTAAAAAATAGCCATAAAACTGATGGTCCTATTGAGACCAGCTCACTGATTTCTCATGATGTCAGGGCCAGGTGTTTAAAGCCCTCTGTCTGGACTAACACTCACAAAAGCTCTCTGATAAGTATTTGCAGCGTTTAATTACAGTAATTCAGAGGGTATGAAATGAACAAAAATGGCTCAGAAATGTTCCTGGCTAAATGAATTTCAGCATGACTGTTATAGATTGTACGGTGGCACCTAAATACTACATCTGAATTCTGGGCCAGATTGTCCTCCTGTTGTTAAATACATAAAATCTACTAGGAACACTGATGCTGCCAGAGGGAAATGAAAAGTCCTAAGAAGGAGGTGAAGCTGCTTAACATTTGCTACCCCCAGTATTTGGAAATGGTCAGGTGCACCTATGTACCTGCAAACAAAGGTTTGGAAGGCAAACAGACTCCTCAATTTTCTTACTTAAGCTACCCACTTAGCACTAACTGAACTGGATCCCTGGGGCAGAATGACTGAACACACCAACAGAGCTGACGTGCAATTAACAAACACAAAGTGGTGGTGTTTGGGTTAAATCACACCGATGGCGTGGGAGAGGTTTGGAATTGGTGCCGCTTAGTTTGGGTACTGTTGCAAAAGAGCCAAGCTCATTTGTGTCATGAATTCTTAGCACAGCGGCTGCTCCCTCTCCAGTCGTATCACCAGTCGAAGCAGAGAGGTGCAAAGCACCTGGGCACAGAAAGGTGTTTCTGACTACTGCTAAATGTTGGTCTGCGTCTCTGAGAAAGACTATGAAAACTTTAATAAAGAGAGAAAAAGCCTACAAAGAAGCACCAGACTAAGGACGGCTGAGCATGGCAGAGTATCCAAGGGTAGGAAAGAGCATCTTGGTTGAAACATGTCCTTTCTCGGTTGATCCCTGCTGCTGTGTGGGAAAATAAGCCTTTGCAGCTTCTCTATAAATAGGCCTGGCTGGTTAAAAGGAATATCTGACTCCATCACTGTGCTTTCCTCCTATCTAAAGACGTCTGCAAGACCTCTAACTTTTTGCGTGGGCCAAAGAAATGCCCAAAGTAGTGAGATCTCCAGAAGGGACCTCCAGCAGGTCTGCACTGCTCACTAGCCATGCTGCATTTCTTGCTTAACCTCTGGTGCTGTGCGGAACACGTTGCGAGAACAGAGTGCTTTTCCCTGATGTCTTGTACTGTCAGCAGAATGACTTATGGACAAAAGAAAAATACTGAACTTTCTGAACACTGGTTTTCTTTATCTTTGGAGTGAAAAAGGATGGCAGATTTGGCCTTTTTTTAGAGGCATTTTTTGGTTCTGCTGTTGGTTTGAGTGCTCCTTGACATCAGTGGGAGTGCTGTGTTACAGCAATAGCTTTAGATCTTCCCTGGGCACGAGGAGTACAAGGCCTTTCTGTAAGAGCTTTTCTCACTCTACATACTAATACATTGATGTGAATTCTCCCAAATTCCAGCTGAAATTCTCTCACACTAATACACTAAGCCTTGCATGTCCTGGCCCCTGGCTGGCAGAGTTTTTTCCCACTCCTTCCAAAGGAAGGGGATGTGTTGGGGGCAGAAGGAGCTTGGCCACAATATGCCACACTTTCCTAATCCTGTGTGACTCAGGAGGTCCCCCGGGGGCTGTGGCAGCTGCTGGAGCTTTGCAAAGCCCTGGAGAAGCTCCAAATTCTGTAGTTTCAGAGAAGAGGGAACACACCACCATCTTTGGCCACTTTTGTCCTCATGCCCTTTTGTGAGTGCTGCCAAGTATTTCACCCATAAGTTGTAGCCTCGGGATTTGGCTCTTGACTTTCTTAGGTGGGTGCAAATCAGGAGTAACCCCAGGTAACATGGTGGTATCCAGAGTTTTGGACTCCACCTGATGAATCAGCTGTGGCTGAGGACTAGCCCTGGTGACAGATGGCAAACATGATGGCCGTGAAGGCACAAGATGCCACAGCTACTATCAGGTGCTCATGGTTTGCTGTATCAAATTGGAAACTGCTTAAAATGGCAGCTACTTAGGCTGGCGTGTTTTGGGGGGAAGGCTGCTGGCCTGACAAAGTAAGTGAGCCAGAGCAGCCACTCTCCAGTGAATTTGGTAGCAACACAAATGGAGACAAACAGTTGTGGTTTTTTTCCCTGCACCCTGGCTCAAGAGGTTAGTAGCAGAGCAAGCCACAGGGCAAGAAAACACATCTCAGGCTATTTCTCAGTCGTCAAGTGATCTTCAGAAATAGCTGAACGTGGGATTTAATATTATAAAGTCACTTCCCCATTCTTTCATCTCCTTTTGTTTAGAAAAACCCACCCAAAACACTAAAAGCAAACAACTGTTCAGATCATGACTGTTGTCTGAACTTGTCAACATCTGCCCCAAGGATTTTTTATCTGTCAGTCAGCCCTAAGCAGATGGGGGAGACAAGCAATTAAGAAATGATCCTTTAAGCTGCCTGGTCGTTAATACTCTCCTTTTCTTCTAAGACCTGTGCTTTGAATTTGGGCTCAAGTGGCAAATTCTCTTTGCTCAGGAGCAACTTTGAACTTGGTCTAATTATCTGCAGCTGTCTTTTGCTTATCTTCTCTCTCCTGTATGTTTAACCCATCTGTCAGCCACAGACTGGTTCTATGGAACAGGCATTTGGTTATGAGGACAGAGCAGTTTCAAGAGCTGCCCTGGAGCCTGCAGACAGTGTCAGGTCAAGAGGTCTGAAAGCTTGTCTTCTGTTTGTCTGTAAGAATGACAGCACAGGGACACTGTGAGTTTCTACATCTGCTGCTGTCCAAGCACTGAAGTTCTTGCCTATATAGCTTTGTGGATGGAAATGATCAGTAGTTCAGTTTTCATACCCATTCAACCATAGTGCAAATGATGATGACAGGTTTTATATAAGCTGTTTCATTAGCTTTCAGACCAAGAGCACTATCTTGTTTTACCTATGGAACTTATTTAGGGTTTTAAAGATGACTAAAGATGATGTGGACTGAACTGTATGTATAGTGAGCTGCGCCCATGGCTTGGACTCCTTTGAAACTCGTGTGCCACTCAGTATCTCTGAATGAATGGGGCCACCCATACCTGTTCAGCAAGACTGATGTCAATGAAAATCAGAGATAGCTAGAAAAAGACCCTTTTTCCCCTTAAGACTAGCTATGAAGTGCAGCAGTTATAGCTGGGGAGCATATGAAGAACTGCAACATCACTTTCTGCACTGGGTTTGTGTTCTGCGTGATTCAGTCTGAATGCACAAGGCGCCGTGATGCAACTGATTTTCCAAGGCAGCTCTTAGAAGCTCAGCTCCTTTTAGATTATCCCAGGATGAAAAATGTGGGGACATAAAGTAATTCCTAGGCAAGGAGGTGAAAAGCTGGGTAGCAACAATGCATCCTGATTAATCATAAGAAGACCCAAGCCAGGGGCATCCCCTGGGGCTGGAGACCTGGGCTGCAATCCTGCCTTGTTGAGCCTAACCTCATGGATGTGTTTAAGCCCATGTCCAACCTCTCTTGGAGCGGCTGGATCAAACCTGCACGTAGCTGCTAATGTACACGTGCCTAGAAGTCACTCTTTTTGAAATTTGTGACTGGGTGTTGGTGTAGAAGGGAAGTCTGTCTCCTGAGCTGTGGTGCCAAGGGGACAGCAATGACAGCTCTGGTTCAGAGGTTGTGGCCATCACAACAGCAGTGGCCTATTTGCCGTCACCACAGCAGTTGGCTGGGAGACGCTTTCTGTGACAGGGCTAGCTTACATCAATGGCATTTATAAAACACATCCATCGCAAAATAGATCTGTTGCACTGACCTTTATGTAAACTCACGGTGCATACTTGGATGAGGCATTCTGATTGCTAGTCTTGCCACAAATGTCATGGTTTGGGGTCATTTCTATTGCACAAGATCACTTGTGCAATTTAAAATCAATTGTGTTATTTAATCACAAAAAGCCCAGCTCTATTTTTCGGAAGAGGCTGCCAGTGAAGGGTGTGAGTAGGTTTTTTTTAAAGAAGTTATTTCCTTTATTTAAGTAAGATATTATAAGAGGAGTAAAACCAGACATTCAAACAATAGATTATTATGACTTCTTTAAACATAAGCATGACCAAAAATTTTAGAGGCATTTTAAGAGATGTTTTTCCAACCATTGATGATATATTAGATATATCTTTTCAAAACGGTAACAACTTCTTTTGTGAAAAGTGTTCAAATCAGAGCCTGTAGTCATGCAAAGAAGCATTTGTATAATGTGTGGTAATGAATTTGAGTACGCTAGAGCAGAAGTTACAGGCTGGAGAGAAATTTATATATCCAAGTGATGGTACAATCAATCAGAGTTGGAAATTATGCACTCAGTATTGTGTGTGAAACATCTTAAAAGAGTGGAAAGCCACAGAAATTGGCTGGTTTTTGTTTCCCTGTTAATAATCTTGCTTTATTGATGTCAGGGGCTAAGTCTGCCTCCCGCCCACAGATTCCTGACTGAGCCCTGTGGTGCCCAGTCATCTTCTGAATTTATTTCAGGACCCACAAATCTGTCAGTGAACCCTAAACTCCAAGATGGTGATGTCTCTGAAGCAGTACACTTTTCCTCCCCCAGGCTGGGTTTCATATTTCATAACGAAATTTTCAAGGGATCCTTTCTGAAGACCAGCTTGTGCTTATTGCTCAAGATGGGTGAGCAAATTGTGTTGTTTTTCTCTCAGTCCTCTCCTTGAGTATTAGGTTTGCCAGAAAGGTTTGCATGAAGCTGAAACTCAAAATGTTATTGTCAGGGCATGAAACTGGCAGGTGATTCCACAGAAAGACCTCACCCCCTGTGCCTGTGCTTCAAACTTTGAAAATATCTTTGCTTGCCTGAAATGGCTTTTCTTGCCTGAAATGGCTTTTCTTAGCCTGAAATGGCTTTTCTTAAAGTATTCCTGTGGCTTTGTTCCTGTGAATATATTGCCTTTTGCCTTACAAGAATGGACTCTTTGCCTGGGAACACCCATATAAGGCACAAAGGGGATAGAGACGTGCAGTATAAACTGTGGATGGTATCAAGCACTATACTGAAAATTTGTATTACTGTCACTGGATAAGTTTTCCTGTTAGCATATCATCCTTGCCTTCATTGTCAGAATGGTTCTGGACTCTTATTAGACCCTGCAGAAATTGACCCAGTGAATGAACAGTATAAAGTGGAGACAATTTGCCATACTGTAGTCACAGGAATTTATTAGACCACTTAATGAGTTTTTCTAGCTAAAGCGAGACTTGACAGGAATTGGTAGTAATGAAAAATCTCCCCTTCTTGCTAATTTGGAACAAGCCAGTGCTTTGTATGTAGTACATATATTGTGCTCACATCAATCTGGACACTGCCAGAGGCAGCTAAAATGGCTGGTTATAGCCCACAGAAATCCCCAAACAGAGGGGAAAAAAAAAAAAGAATTCTGCCAAACTTTTCCCAGAAGTCCCATACAGATGACATTTTTTCTTTTTATGCCTTCCTTATTGCACCCATCTCTCTGCTTCACATGGAAAACAAGAGGGAAATGAAGGACAGAAAACCAGAGGAATGGCTGAAGAAAGCAGACAGACATTTGACTTTGGAAATATAAAATAAAATTTTAAAGTAAAAAATTCCCAATAACAATTAAAATGTTTTTCACAATAAGAGTTGTTCCACAATGAAGGCAAAGCTGTTTTGCTAAAAATAAAATAAAATTGTGCCATTCAGGCAGTGATCTCCATGGCAGGCACACGTCCTGCAGGCTGGGTTCAGGGGACAGTCCTTGTGCTCCTGTCCCTGTGCTGCTGCTACATGCTGGCCCTGTGCAGGCTGCCAGCTCTCACTGGGGGCTATTATCGGGAGCTCAAACCCTGTATGGGGAGACAGGGAGAAACAGATCAGTGTCCATGGCCTCACCGTGACTGTTCCACCTGGAAATTGCTCAAAATGGCCTTGAAGTTACTTCAACGTCCCCTTTTTGTGTAATTTGTGCGAGGCTGGAGCGGGATCTCTTGGCTCCACTCCCTTCCTCTCCCTTCTCTGCATTCCTGTATTTGTTTGTTCAGTCTGATCTCTGCTCCCTGTTTTACAGAAAATATTTATATCCTCCTCTGAAGCCTCTCCCATGAGGAGCGAGGACTGCATTCACATTCAGCCTCGGCGTTTGCGCGAGTTTGAGATGGGGTGAATGAGTTTGCTAAAAAAAGAGGAAGTAGCAGACAGACAGGATGGATTCATCCCTTTCTGTACCTCCTGCCCTACCAGAGGCGATGACGAGCTCGTGACTGCAAGCCCCCCTGTGAGCCTATTATGAAATAGGGACAATAGGAAGTCCTGGTGTTTAGATGAAGCTGCCAAACCTGCCCACTTGGAAACTGTGGTTTTGTGAGAGAAGAAACCGGGCCATCACTGTTTGCAGCAGCAACCACACTATCAGAGAGGATCTGGTATGCCCGTTGACGAGAAGGGACTCGGACCTTGACCGTTCCCTCATGCTGGCACGCCATATTCCCACGCTACCACTTACCCAAGCTTTGCCCTTGTGCATTGCTTATAGTAGAGCACAAAGGTGCAAAAACCTCTCTTTCTGCTTTGCTTTGATAATCTTTTTCCCTCTGTGTGCACATATGTAAACAATCAAAAGAGGTGCTGGGTAAAATAAAATTAACCACCTTCTCTCTTTCTAGCAGCTTCAGGGCTGTCCGATGTACTATGTGCATAGGGGCAGTTAAAATCTATTCAGGTTACTGTATTGCCATGCCTTCTTTAAAAAGCTGTGCATACCCAAGGATTGTTAGCACTTGCATGTTTTGCTATGCCGCAGGCAGCAAAGGTACAAGTTAACCTTATCCACCAGTGAAGTGTTACAGAAGTTCTGCGTGGAAAAACCTATGGCCCCGAAGACCACCCTGATGCTGACTTCTCCTCTACTTTATTAAAATCAGTGGCTGTCCAGGCACTGTAAGGCAAACAATTCCTGGTGATGTGACATCAGTTGCCAAAGAAAAGGAAATACCTAATGAGGTGGAAGAACATTAGGCGTCACAAGATGCAATGAGAAAAATCTAGCTTTCCATTTTATCCAGGTGTCAGAGAACCCAGGCTGTGTGTCGCCCTTAGTCAGCCATCCTCCTGTTTATGTGAGCTTATGCCGCAAACCCCACTGTCCCTTAACGTAGGTTTTGAGCCCTATCGTTCTCTCACTTTACCTCAACAACCAAAATACCACACTGGTATTATTTATGCCCCAGAATCATCAGACTGATGTATTAAATGTCTGGTAAAAATTTAAAATCACATTTAAATTCAGATCATAGACACACCCCATAATGGCAGCCATGGCTTTCGCCTTGTGAACCCACCTGAATGATGCAAAGCAGAAGGAGCTGCTGAGCGTACACAGGGGGACTGTGAGAGTACACAATGGACTCACTGTACGTGGTGTACTTGAACTCACAGCAGCACTTCTAGTTTAGAATAAATTACAGCCTGTAGAGAGGGTGTGTAAGTGGTAACACAAGCATTTAATGATTAAAGATACTTTGCAACTGGTGAATAAGAGTTAAACTTAAGATTTACGGGTTGGTTTGGTGCTGTCTCAACTCTGTTCCTGCAGAAGCCAAAACAATGATCTGTGTTCGGATCTTTAGGTAAGGTAAGGTCTGGGGAGGGAGCCACTGTCTTTTATTAGATTATCTCTAACAGTGAGGAGAAAACCAGACCATTTTTCAGGCACACAAGGTCTACCACTAAGAATGTGTGTTCGTCAAGCTGTCCCTCTGAAGTCAGTAAGAGAGTGCATAATATGTAAATTATCTTTATGAACATCTGTGAGACTGAAAATTTAGGCTACGTTACGCAGGGGGTATGCATTTGTACAAGACCAACACTGCTCTTAACTGGCTACTAGACACTATTACCATACAGATAATAAATTTTGTAGCAAAATTGCAGTGAACAACATCTGCCTGTGCTCATCTTGCACAACTTTTCCTCCAGTCATTGACCAGACTGCCGGACACTTAAGTCCGGTGGGGATCTGGCACAGAGGAACTTACCTGGTTCTCTTTCAGAGTTATCTGTCCCTGTTCCTTGCAACCGATGAATGTCCTGATACACCTGTAAATCTTCTCATCGTGTTGCACTCTTTGAACGAAGTTAGCAGGAAAAAATCCAGTTCTGTCGTCAATCTTCCCCTGTGGAGAAAACATATTGATGGAAGAAGGTCATCAACACTAGTAGCTTTAATACAAGTTCAGTATTGAAAATAACTTATTTTTCCCTTTGGAAAGAAAACAGATAGATATAAAATAATTAGCACATACCTTCCACCAGTCTTCATTGGAGTCTTCCAGAAGAGTGATCATATCCCCTGGCCTGTCGTTAGAAGAGGAAAAGTAGATTAAAATGACTCTCAATTATTATGCTGCATCAGCTTCCACAATTACCTTCTAATAGGAAGGTGGTCCTTCCTTGGTCATTTTGTCTGAGCATGCACTGTCAGTAGACTCAATGAGGCAGCACAGTTTTCTTAAATCATACTCAGTAATGTAGAAAGAAAGTCTCTGTATATTTGGGTTAGATCTTTATTTTGAGACAACATCTGTGAACTGTTTTTTTTTGCTTCCTGTTTAATAAGAAACTGTTTAAAATACGGTGCCTATTTGTTACAGGCATTATCTTGTTACTTCAAGACATTTCACATTGTTGGGACACACCACTTTATCATCTGTGTTTTCAAGCTGTGATTGCAGAAAGAAGGCAGCAGGAAAATGGTTCTATTTAACTGACAAAGGCAATTAGTCAGCAGGGATATAATTCTGCCCAGGAATGTTTTTTTTTTTTATTTGAATGGGACATATTTACCTTTATAATGTGTGGTGCAGGGTTGTAATTGCTAAGTATCAGCATCCAGCTGACTAGTTCCAAAGCAGAGCTAGGAGAATAATTTGGCTGGAAATGCTAATAGCAAAATGTGCTGAGCTGATTTTATACAGGTAGTTGAACAGTTATTTGACCTCCTTACCCCCATTGGTGGCACTTCATCAAAGTTATTATGTAATTATAATAGCGCTGCATTGTAGAAAGTAAGTGGCAGCCCATTTCCAAATGGATTAACCTCAGAAAACTCTGTCTGCTTGATAAGAGGCATTTCTTTCATCTTAATAAAATGAATCACAGAATACCAGGTTGGAAGGGACTTCAAAAATCATCTGGTCCAACCTTTCTTGGAAAAATCATGGTCTAGACAAGATGCCGCAGCACCCTGTCCAGCTGAATCTTAAAGTTGTCCAATGTTGGGGAATCCATCACTTCCCTGGGGAGACTATTCCAATGGCTGATGGTGAAAAATTTTCCTCAACGGTTGACCCCTAATTATTCAGCTTTCCTTGCATTGCCTGTTAGGCTCACTGGATTACTGAGGTATCAGCACAAGTGCTTGCAAATGCATCTGGAGCATGCGATGAATAAGAGGTCCAAATTAATGGGCTCTGTCAGAGCATGCATAGAAGGTGCGGACCTGTCCTGGAGGTCGGGGTGGCGGTGGGCCTCTTTGGTCCACTTGCCCAGTGGTTATCATTGCTGCTGACAACGGGAGAAACAAGCATTTGGTCTTCTAACACTGTGCGATCTGAAGCAGTTTTCCAGCTTTCACAGACAGGCGCTATCAATAGGACATCAGGGAAGGTTTTTCCCCAAGCCCTCCTCAGGAAGCTGTTTTAATGTGTTTGGAATAATTAAATGTTGCTGAGGTGAGAAAGGAAGCTAGAGAAAAAGGACAACTTAGTATCCCAGTGGTAAAAGATTTCTTCTATGGGACAGAACATCTGAGTCCCTTATTCTAGTTAATATTTAATATAAAAGACTTAAAGAGTTTTTGTGGGAGCTGACCTTGCCACTTCAGAGTGAATAGGCTGTAACACCATTGGAGCCCTTACACTGCAAGGAAGAACACTTCCAAAAAGAAGGGTTTAGAGAGCCCCATCCTCCAAATAGCCTTCAGCCTGCTGGTTAGAAAAATAACTTAGAAAATGTAAATTTATTTGGCTGTCAAAGAAAGATGGCAACTGAACCTAAAGTCTCTCCATGTCAGTGGTCTGAGCACTGAGATTTTTAGATGCAAGACCTGCAGATTTTGCTTTTTGATATGTTTTAGCACAGGACTAACGTAGATGTCTCTAATCTCTGAAAAGGATTCAGAAATAGAAGTCCCAGCTGGACCTGTGTTACTTTTGCTGCCTAGACTTAGGCTGCTAATCCCTGAAAATGGGCAACCTGTTCGGTGTTTACCAGTTTACTACTGTTTGAAATCACTCTCAGGTCTCATCTTTTTCTTCTGTAAATCACAGCTCTGGATAAGTTGTCTGCTCTATATCAGTGCTCTAGATTTCAGTAGGTGGCAAGATAGGCACTCATCAGCCCTGAAGTGTCCAGGCAACCACTGATGATCATTGTAGGTCCCTTCCAACTATTTTACTTCTATTCTATTCTATTCTATTCTATTCTATTCTGTTCTGTTCTGTTCTGTTCTGTTCTGTTCTCTCTACTCTACTCTACTCTACTCTACTCTACTCTACTCTACTCTACTCTACTCTGCTCCTATTCTACTCCTATTCTATTGTTTGCTATTGCTATTGCTACTGCTATTGAGTGCAGTGTCTGAAATCTGGCGTTGCTTGTGTCCAGGACTCTCTACTTACTTATTGTAAAATAAGGCCATGTCTTAGAATAAGCATATTAGTGGAATGTCCTACTTATGCCAGAGTTTTGGAAAATCTGACTGGCTGCTCCTGCAGTTGAGTAACAAATCAAGGTTGTGGCAAGTACTAATTGCTGCTGAAATCAGGGCTGGCACCTCTCCGCTGTAGTAATCTGCCACCCATTGCAGAACCTCAGAGGTGAGCTGAGATCTCCAGAAATCTCCCTTAACAATTCTTCCCAGCTTAGCTCTTTTCCCTGCTACTTGCCTTCATTATGTTAGGGCTGATCAGTGTCCAGCTGGTCCCTGACTTGGGTTCCCAGGACAGTGCTTGTCAGTCTTGACAACATTGCTATGCTGAATTCATCTCCAGCAACTCAGCTATGTTAAGTGAAAATTCATGCAGCTGAGCTGAATCCTGCCTGGCTCTGCAGTGACCAAACAGCATTACTAGCTGTTTGGCATCCCATAAGAAACAGTGTTATTCAGCGTATAACTGAATTTCTGGCCATGGGACAAACAACGCTGCTGCAGCTGAATAACACTAGTCTAAAACTTGGCTGGTGTCTCTGGAAAAAGCTTGTTAGTCACGACAGTCCAGGTTGCAGACCACAGGTTGCTTTTTCCCCTAATATGAGGAACAGGAGAATTGTGGAGAACAATGTACTTTCTGGATTGTTACGTCTTGATGAGAACGATAGTCCAGTGCAGGCTTGTCCGAGCAATGCTCCTCTTCGTGAATCAAATGCGCAAGCTGGAATACACCTCTAAAGGAGCAGGATGCAACGTGGAATCCCTCAAGCAGAGTAGCTGGCAAGTTGCACTAAAGGTCACCATAGCGTGTAGTTATTTTCTGAAGAGTTGACATTCCTAAAATAATGATTAGGAAATGCCAGCAAAGCAGAATGATAGGGATGCTTGTAATTTCTGCCTTAGATCCCACTCATCAGTTCCAGAGCAATGAGAAGGCACAGCTGGGAACAGGAAAAAGGCTTTCAGTGAAGGAGGTGCTGATGAGAGGGGCATTTTTCTGGCAATTCCCTAAATCCTGTGGCATGTGCATGATTGTTTTGATGTAGGGGATGCCTTGAAGAGAGTTGGCACATTTCATGACAAGAGCTCTAGCAAGACCAGGCGAAATGTGAGTAGCATGAATCAAACTAATTGCACTAAAATAAAAGATGTTCTTTCACTTCAGTGGACTTGAATTAGACCTTGCAGTGCTAGCAACTGATGCAGAATTGAGGAAGGAAGTGTTAAAAATTATAATCAACAAGGTTATTTTGCAAAGGTCAGAATACACCTTTCTCATGTGAAAACACTGCCATCCAGCAGATGGACATTGTTGTCTTTTCTCAGACATAATCTGAATGTGAGGGAAAATCAAACAGGACTGGTAGAATGTTTAGCATTAACATAAGAGCTGGTGACAAATTCCTAGTTGAACACTTCTGGCTGAAAAAACAAAGCAACTGAAAACTGAATATTTTCTACCTGAAAGCCATCTTGCTCCTAAAGTGACATAAGTGTTTTTGAAACTTTTTATCTATGGTGTCCTTCCCCAAAAAGTTGGTCATCAGCTTTTTATCTATAAGAATATCTTTGTATCTGCAAGTGGATACCTCTATAAAAATGTTGAGTACAAATGTCAGAATGAACCTTCCCTCCCTTGAAGTCATATACAGCCATATAAGCCTCAGTTCACATGAGTCAAATCAACTAATAAGTACTTTTGGGCTTTACCTCATCTCCAAGTCTTCATTTTCTTGTGGTACAAATTTGTACAAGGCAACATAGGTGTTCATTTGCAATGTGCTTTTATAAAATGGTCCCTTTAAGAAAAAAGAGAAAGAGAAAATGTAAGTATCTATCTGAGCTGTACAGGAATTCGGTTCATTGTTAGAGACTGAGGAACCAGTGCCTGATCTTCCAAGAAATGAGCCAGAATCATCTCACTGCTTTCACACCTTGGAGGACTATGGCCCAGATACACTGCGAGCCATTAAGGCAGTAACCATCTTAATTTAGAAATAGATTCTTTGAACCCCAAGATCAAATTCCAGACTTCCAAAGAACACCAGCAGAAATCTGCACAAGTTGGTCTTTTGGGTGAGATCTGAAAAATGAGTCAGCCTTTTGCTCTCTGTTAATGTACGACTCTTATGAGCCCGGTAGTGTATTATTGGCTTTATGTAAGGTGTCTATTATGCAGTCCTTGTTATGGATGGAGATAGAGTTGTGCAGTGCACAGGCTGAAAGACGGGGTGGGAAAATCACTTTCTTAAACAGAAAGCTGCTTGCACTGGGCTTCCCTCAGAGAAGACTGTCTGGTCTCTCTCTTCCCTTTCTCTACTGGTAATCTGGAGGAAAAAAAACACTTAAAACAACCCCCAAGTAATTTTCCAAATGAAATCTGTGATTTTTACATTACTGCAGTTCTATTGTAACGATATGGCCTGCGCACTGGATCTTTTGTGTTCACAATATCAATCTCTAATAAACAGAAAAGCATAAAAGGGACCATGATGGGTAAATTAAAGAGCCATCCAGTCCTGTATATTGCTTCTAACAGTGGCCCAGAAATGGTATAAGAATACAACTGTCAGATATTGATGCTTCTCCAGATTAATGCCCCAACAGACCTACAAGGTCCTCAGTTATCCATAAAAACAAGCCTTTTATATGACTTCGCATTCCCATTGCATTCTTACTAAATTTATGCCCATACCGGGGAATGTATACTTTTTGGTTCTTCTCCAAAGTGTTCTGTTCCATTTTCGGAGTATGTAAACACTGAAATAAAGCAAACACATGACATTTTAGGAGTTGTTTATGACTCTTCACCTCAACAGGATCACCTTTATTTTGTTAATCTCTTCCCTTTCCCCTTTACTTTCTTTGATCCGTTGTGCTCTCCTCTGAAGCCTTCTACACCTCCAACAAAACCATGTATACCACTGGCACATGGCATAAAACAATCTGCCCTGAAGAATTTACAATCATAACAGATAAACCATATTGATCAGATGAATATACACAAGTACAGCACCGGGAATAGAAGGTAGCTCCCCTAACTGCACTACTATTTAAAGTCCAGCAGCCTTTTCCTCACACTGAATGCTGTATTTTCGTGTTTAGGACGAGGAGTTTTTCCGTTTAAAAGCGCCTGCAAAAGCTGATGACCACATATGAGCAATATTGCCGGAAGTTTGTACGCAAAACCCCTTCTTCCCCCTCTTCGACCCTCTATCTCTAAACGTTTGATAGCATTCTTTGATCTCTCTCCCCAGTAGTCCCTGCCTGGGGGCACTGGATGTGCTGCCCCTCTCTGATTTTATAGGAGGTACCTGAATTGCTTTCAAATAGGGATGGGTTATCTGAGACACAGGCCTGTATGTGTGAAAATCTGCTTCCAAGTTACTAAATCAGAAACTCACAGAATAAGACAATGGTCACAGCACCTAACGTACCTGCTAGCTAATCAGTTACCCTCTACTGTAATTTCTTCATGAGCTGACTGATGCCTGTCCTTGGTTATCTATCTCCCTAGAAAAATCACAGTGGCTTTATTACATTGACTGAATTCGCCCTTCACATTTTAAAAATTGCCTGGTGTTTCTTGCTTCTGTATAAAGTCTGAACATGATTTTAATAGCTGAAGTCTTTGAGTAGCTAGAACCATCAGCATCTTCTCCCACCATTTAGCTCTGCAGGTGTTTTGAGCAGAAGATGGATTTCGTCGTCTCTAGCAATTTGGAAATCTCCAAAATGGTAATAAGTAGCAGGTTGATTGAGTGCATTTTCTTTTTGTTTCTCTGTGATAGTTAACGTGTTCAGGGGAGTTAAGGTGCCAGAGAACACCAAACCGCTGAATTTCTTTCCTCTTTTGCTCTTTTACTTGCTCACCTTTTCTTCCATTAACACATATTTCTGTGGCTATTCTACATTGTAAATGACAACGAAAAAAAGAGTCTTTGAAGAAGTTTTATGAGTGAAATAGTAAGGTTCCTTGACAGTAGAGAGTTGTACTTAGACATTGAAAAAATGTAGTGTTTTTGTAACAGAGGAAAGAGAGCTAAAATGGGAGCCACAACATGCATGAGAAAGATTTTGTAGAGTGACACGCATCCACGAGCACACACAAGCCCATGTTCTCTGATAAAACGTAAGACAATAATTTTACAGTCATCAAGTCCAATGCGTGAATGTGAAAACAGCATGTGAGCTGACGCCTGCAGCATTTAACCTGAAAATGCCCCAAGTTGTATCCAGGTGGTCTGACTGCGGCTGACCTGAGGGCCTCACCGTGCTTCTCACCAAGTCCTGCTGTAGAAGCACTCTGACCCTGCAAACTCTCATGGGTACCAGAGGGAAACCCTTAAAAATAAAATTAATTTCCTGGACTTTCTAGCATAGGGGTATATGTATACCTGGCATCTGTATAAAGGCATGTAAATGCTGCCATTACAATGTGGCTGTGTTTACGTCCTACTGAAATTACTATGCTTTGTTTTTTGTGTCCAGAGCAAAAGGAGTTGGGGAGGCAAGTAGAAAAAGGTCTGGTGAATAATGAGTTGGGCAACCAGCAGCGTTTTGAACTTGCAGAAAGTCATTCACCAGACGAAGCGGCAGCATTTCAGCAGCACGTTTGGAGTAATTTCTGCTTGGGGACAAAAAATAAAGGCGAGTTACTAAAGTACGGCCTGGCAAGCTGTGGAGGTGGGGAGGGAGCTGGACTGTATCCTTCTGTTAGCTCAGAAGAGCTCACCACACCTGGGTTTGCAGGGAGGACATCCCATATTTCACTCGAGGGGGAAGCGCTCAAATATCTATTGATAACAGGCTCATACATGTCACTTAAAGTACTTTTTGGCTTGCGGGAATTCTGTTACGGATGGCAATTCACAGCGGTGAAGGAGTATAACTGGCTCAGAGGAGGCTGAAGGGCTGGAAATTAGGTATGCCGTCTTAGAGTTGTAAGCTAGGAAGCTTGCCAGGGCCTGAATGAAAGCATCTTCCCTTGAAGTTGTCGTAGGAGTCTACAAGAGCGATGACAGAGCCGCATATGTCCTCGGTCCGTTCACCCTTCTGCAGGCTGTGTCTTTTCTGCTGTTTCCCTTTGAGCAAAGAGTCTCACATGTACATTTTCCTAAAACCTGATTTGCAGAAGACAGTTTTTTAATGAAAAAAAAAAAAAAAAGAACTGGAATGGACCTGATTCATCAAGGCATTAAAGTGGAACTGCCTGCTAAAGAGGTAGCGGACAACTGAGGAAAAAGGAGTGGTGAATCACTCTGTAACAACATTTTGAATTTACTTTGATAAATTTTTAATCTCTGTTTAGCTCATGGTCTCTGGATATTACTAGGAGGCACTTGAATCTGAAGGCCATAGAGGTATGTAGTTCACGTCTCCACACAACAGAAATCCATCTATTTTCATATTTGTTTGCCCTAACAGCAGCAGCCAAAAAAACCAAAAAAAAGCCGGGATTTTTACAGTCTGAAAAGGATTTTACCATTTCCATAGCTTGTGCAAACAGTGCGGGCAGTTTATTAAAAATCTACCAAGGGGAAATTTTTGGAGTGACTGATGCATAATTTATACCCCGAGCCTCTGAAGGATGGATTGCAAAAAGCCAGTGCTGATCAAAGGAATCGTTAATGTGCCGCGGAGGTTATTTGGAGGTTTGACACATGCTGAGTTTTTAAACTAATCTCTTTGAGTAAGTTCCTTGAATGCCTCTCAGTGCATTCAATGAATGCAGAACTCAGAGAAAAAAGTTTCTTTGGGTTTCAGAAATGAAACTACGGATTGACAATGAAATAAAAATTTATCTGAAAACTCAAACAGGGCCAAATTAATCTCAGGTGGGCAGGATGTGAAGCAGACTGAACTCTCTATCTTTAACCAGGTCAGGTTAACTTGCACTTGCAAGACAGAAAATCTAAAAAAAAGTCAGGAGAAAGCAGATAACATGGATGGGGTGTTCACAAAGCGAGAGGGAGGAAATGACTGATCAGAGTCAAGAGAAGTGATAGGACCAGGAGGGGAGGAAAGGAATAAGGAGGTGGCATAAAATGGGAAGGGACAGCTGAAGCTGGCATTTCACCTACATGAACTGCTAGCAGTACGTAAGGAGCACTGGGGGTCTAACAGAAAAAAACTATGCTCACTGTGATTTATTTCTGTAGCGTACATCTCATGTGAGATTCAGGAAAGCAACCTTCAGGTGCTGTTAGAGAAGCTGCTCTGGTGGTTTGGGCCTGAAGTTTTGCTTAGTGCTCCAAAACCTTTTGTACTTATTGCTTCCCTCACCATGACTGAATTCAAGAATAGGGTCACGAACACCATCCCTCAGTGGCTGAGATTTCATTACTAAGCTCTCGAAGGGTATGATGGTCCCTAAATCCCATCATACCAATGCTGTAAAAACATTACTCTTGTACGGCAAAGCAGACAAAGGAATCGGGCTGTTAATATTACTGGGCACATGCTATAGTTGTACTGAGAAGGTGCCATTATAATCAGGATTCATTATGTTGGATATTTTACAGATACATAGCTATTATGATTCGTTTACTGTCCCAAAGAGGTTATGGTATATAGAGACACATAGACAAGTCAAACATATGGAAGAGAAAGGAGGTATTATTTTTGTTCCACTTTGCCAATGTGGAACTGAAGCATGTTAAGTGATTAGCCTACAGTCATGTTCATGAAGTGGAGGAGATAGGGAATGGAGCTGAACTTTGTCCAGCGTCAGGTCTGGACACAACAAATTAAGAAAACTGGTGGCTTGAATTTCATCTGAATGGCAAAAAGCATTCCCCAAATTCTTGCACCAACTACATGTCCCACTCACCTCCCGCTTTGAAAACCAGAATGCTGCTAAAACATGGACATGCCATAAAAAAATGGCTGAAACAATTAGGTTGTACACAGGCCTATACATCTGAAGATGCTATCCTGGCCTAGCAGCACTCACCGCTGTTGCTGCGTTTCCTGCTTATGTCAAGGGTGCTTGCAGAGCTATCGCCTTCCTCAGGAACTTCTGCCAGGTCAGCTGTCTGCAGGGACAGAAAGAGCAAATGAGATGGGATAAGCCAGAAAAAGTGAGTGATGAGGTGAAATAAGACCATACAAGAGCCTTTGGGAAATGTGGTACTTGGGTGCTATACAGAGCAGAGCAAGTCAGCCTAATGGGATTGCAGAAGACATGGTATCTGGTGATGCACAACAAATACCTACTTCACAGGGAGCACCGAAATCCCAGAAAGAACTCCAGACCAAGTTTCCAGTCTGGAGTACAAAAGATTTCTGCAGTATAAAGTGAAGTGAAAGTTAAGGAACAAAGGATTATGTTAAACAATGTGGTTCTCTCTATAAAAGAGAAGGGACTTGGGGGAATTTGTAGATCCTGCAGGTACACTAAATGCTCTCTGCCAAGGAGACTGGACATTAATTGAAACTATTGACTATTAATTTATTAACCCTGAATACATTATTCAGTGAAATAACTGTAATGTAAGGGTGATTTTAATTCTGTTAACATGCTATTGAAAAAGGAGCTGGAGTGTGATAGAGTTGGTGAAGTCAGTCTTTAAATATCTGCCCTCACTTTTTTTTTGAACAGTCATCTGGCTTGTATGGTTGAGGAAAAATGAAACCCAAATGTTGTTGTTGTTAGAATTACTATTATTTCTTATTTGTACCATATTAATGTCAATCATGATTAGGGACCCATTGTTCTAGGGTGTAGGAAACGTAGGATGACATAATCTCAAGCCTCAGAAGTATAGTCTGCATAAAGCACCAGATTCCTTGGTTGGGTAGTCAGCTTCTCCATGTATAGCCTGACAGGAACCAGGAGCTGCTCCAAACAACTCTGTCCAAATCTGACCTTATAGAACTTCAGTTTCTGAACTCTCCACACCTGACTTCTTTTGGGTGAAACATCTTTGATAACCATAAACACTGAACTTGAGCCAGGCGCTCTCTCTAGTCTGAAAAACTGTAAATCCTTATATGCTCCTAAACTTTATTTATTTCTTGTTAACAGGATTTTAAGACATGTAGAAGGATTTCACTTCATTATTCCATGACACACTAGAACTATGCTGTACACCTATCTCTGTCCATTGCTTTGCAGACCTTTGCCTGCATTACAGGAAGAAAAGCCAAAGAAAGAACATTCACTGCTTTTGTTCAGGGAGCACAAAATCTGAATTGCTTTATAGATTTTTATATGGTTTTTGCTTTTCGTAGTGTTGACAACAAAGCTTTTTTTAGAAAGTACTTTACTTTAACAATTTTATTTCCCCTATCTAGTACTTTCCTAGCTACTTCTCCATCCAAGGATACTAATGAACAAAGAGGTTAAAAGTAGATTTATGCCACAGATCTTGTAGTTATCTTGTTTCCCTTGCTATTTTAAGAGTCTTCTACTTTACTGCTCTGTTCTGCCTTGGTTTTAGACTCGGCGTTTTGCAGCAGGTCATGCTGGTCTTGCGTCTTGCACAAATGGGTCACCCCTGGATGAGAAGGTACTGCGATACCAATGCTAAAATGGAGTCAGTGGAGAGCATATCTAGGGATTTCTAGTTGTTGGGTGGAGAAGGGAAAGACTGGCTCGGTTGAAATAGTAAGTTGCAGCTATTTTTCAGCTCATTGCTACAGCATGTTACACAGTCTTCATAGACCAGCTTCATAATTGCTGATTAGCTTCGTATTTTATTGGGTCTGCATTTATGACACTGCATACGGGATATGCAGTGACTGTCTCTTCAGTATACACCTCATCCAAAACGTCCTGAAGTAACATTTAATGATTTTTCAGTCAAGAGCTATATGACAAATGGTCTGATAGAAATGACAGAGGTACAAAGCTACTTTTGAGAGGAGCTGATCCACGAAAATCTAACAAGAACTGGAATCACATTTACATCACCACAAGCGACTTTCTGTATAAATGTGGGTTGCAGAAGCACATTTTTGAAGGAAGCAGTAGGTAGTAAATCTGGAGCATATGGCCACTTTCTTTTATGGGAAATGCAGAATCTGGGCTGAAAAATCACAGTGGGTGTGTCCATACTGCTCAGTCATATTAAAAATACCTTGGCTAGTTCAGAGCAAGACGGTTATCTCTGCTCTGCCCAGAGACATGAACTGCAGTCCTGAAAGCTTCATGGCTGTACAGACAGGGCACAGCTCCTAGGCTAGTTGCCTTTTCTTTTAATTGCCTTCAGCAGAAGCAGCTATGCTGCTCTGACCCAGAGCAAGCCCTTTGACAGTTTGGACACCACCTGTGAGGTGAAGTAGGATCCCACGTGTTACCATGTCTCTGGTGGCCCTGGTTTGGTGACATGGCAGAACCTTGAAGCACTTCCCAGCTCCCAGGGCTGGGGCGCAGCCCAGCTGCAAAGCCCCAGTGCTGCTGCGAGCCTCACGGCTGCGTTGGTGCTTCTGCTTTGAGAGGAGAAGGGCAGCACAGAAGTGAGGACCACTGGGGAAAGATCTTAATCCCTATGTGTTACTAACTTAACATGTACTGCTAGCTCACGTGCTCTGATGCATTTTCACCTGGGCTCTAAGGGCTCTGTATCATGTCCCTGCTCTGGTCGCTGGTCAGTGTCTGCTCTAGTTGTAAAACTCCATGGCCCCATCATTTGGGGTTGTGTTTGCCCCTGGTTTTTATCCTTGTCTCAATCCACAAGCTTGCACTGGCAGAAGTTACGGTTTCACATGTCTGTTTATTCAGTTCTGTAATGTTTTCTATTTTCTGCATGCTGACACATGTTATATTCTTTCTCAGCCTCAATACCCTGGAGAAATTCCCATAATGAACTTGCTTTCCTCGTTGTACACCCACACCCCAACTAGTTATGATCAACTCCCTAGGGCAAGCTGACACAGCATTCGTGATTTCTACACTTGAGTTGTCATTCATAATTCAACATAATGCTTTATTGATTTAGAAAGCAATAATTACATTTGTAGAACTTCTGTTTCAAAGTAAATTAAATAACTGAAAGAAAGAACCATAATCACAATGCGACAGGTGGTAGAGTCACTTTAGGTTTTAAAAAAGAGTGGAAATTACTGAATTCCTTTTAAGATACAAACAAGGGTGGATAGAGAACATGTCCTTTAATAACCCCCTTGCAGATTTCACTTAGTTCTTGTTTAAACTTGCCTGTCCTCTTTCCCACCTGTCACAAATGGACATCTGTTTAGAGGCCACCTATACCACCTGAGGTTGCAGTTCAGCCTTGTGAGTCAGCATACATTTAAGTGTCAAGGAAATGTTGTACCAAATATAAACAGATCTTAGCACCATTTTAAATTAAACATGTAAGTGTTTGCTCCGAGGTCTGGAGACCAACTCTCATCATGTCTCTGTGCCTGGTGATTTGTATTCTGAGGTGGGTGCGGAAGAGGTTGTCAGATAATGTGGGTCTGCTTTTTAGACGTGACAATCAGCTTTAGCCTCCAGTGTATCCAGGTGTGACATTTTTGGTTTGGTTTTTTTTGTTTTTTTTGGCAGGGGAGTTGGGAGGATCTCTTGGGAAAAAAAGAGAGCCCCAAGCATAGGCTTAAGTGCCTGTTTATGAGAGGTGAGAGGGTATGAAATGTTGTTTCAACACTATGAATGAGGTCCTGATCTTATGGGTCCCAATACTGTTGAAAGAATCATTTCTGTAAGGAAGAAACTGGTAAGTGTTATTGTTCAGCTAGGTGTGGATTTAGCAAAGGCAGGGCTAAGGGAACTAGCATTGTCTTCCTTCTCCAGCTCTTCTGCCATGGTCCTGAGGAAAGTGACTTTTATGAAAGCAGAGAGTGAATGACAAGGATTAACATGAAGGTGAAAATCTCCCTGTCTGGATACAACAAGCTGAAAACATCTGCCTTTATTTGGGTTTTGGAGAGAGGAGCCCAAAACTGTGATGCCACCCTCCTGAGTCTACACTGGGCAAAGGTGGAAGTTCCAGTCCATTGTCTTATTGCAGTAGCAGTGGCTTAATTTTAGCTGGGTTTGTACTGTGGAGCTTGCTGCCCAGAAAGGTGGTAGATGCCCCATTCCTGGAAACTTTCAAGGTCAGGTTGGACAGTAATCTGAGCAACCTCATCTAGTTGAAGATGTCCGTGCTCATTGCAGGGGGGTTGGACTAGATGACCCGTAAAGGTCCCTTCCACCCCAAACTATTCTATGATTCTATGAAATCCAGGCTCTGAGGACTCCAACCCATTGCTATCACTTGTATGAAGGCTAAATGTCCACCACTACCAACAGGCAGGATGCATTTACTTCAGCATGACAGTTAAATATGTCTGTTCCAATTTTACACAGATATGCAAAATCAAAAGAATATATTTTCCTTTTCCAAGCTGATAACAGAAGATTATTAATTTAATATGTATTTTTCTCTTTTTCTCAAGAGTCATCTAAAAGATACTTAAAACCCAAGTTTGCAAAAATTATGTGTCTTCTGGTCTCATTTTGGAAGGTGGGAGTGAATTTTTTTTTTTTTTTTACAGTTTGAAATACAGGCTTTGTGAACTCTGATACAAGCTCCTGTGAATTAATATCCATTGCTCCTCCACAAAGAAAATGGAAGAAAGATGTGGGATACTTACAGAGTTTCTGTTGGGAGATTCAGACCCACTTCCAGAACTGCCCTTTTTGGTTTTCTGAGCTAAGGAAGTCCCAAACCGGAGAGTTTCATACACAGGGTCAACCTTATTTCCACAGGCTGCAATAGAAGGAGAAAAACATGCATCAATCCCTTGAAGATATTTCTGGTCATGTTTCTGCTCCACTTGAAGAAGCACCTGCCTCTACCAACGTTTTGGGGTGTATGCTTAGAAACATGAATTGAGAGACTATGCTGATAAAAAGGGTTTGATTACCTTAATGGAATTGGCTTTTGCTAGCGATTTTCTGCTGCCTCCTTGCTCCCATAAAGATCACCCTCCCCTCATACAGGCTCTTTGGGTTCCTGCCATTGCCTCTCTCTCTTCCCTTGACATCCTCCTTCTCTAATCACCACTGATGCTGTGTACACTGAGGTAAGGAAAACAAAGTACCAGAAGGCTTTAATCCATGTTTGCTGCGTGTCCTACCACTGACCTCTTGGATTGCTCTCAACAGTAGATGCAAGAAGGGAAAAACCCTGCATCGTGCCCGAGCATCCTTGTGGTAAGGTTGGGCCATCACCTTTATCCGTCTGCCCTCACAGTGCTACTACTTGGCTAATTTGTCTAAACAGGATGGCCTGGATCTTCTTTGAACGGTACTGACAACCCTACTGTGAGGCCATATGGAGTCTGAAGGCAGGTGTGGCTAGGTACCTGCTACTGGGAATGTGCTCCAGGTTGCTCAGCTCAGTCTAGGGGTAGCCAGAAAGGCCATCACCCCCACTGGCGTATGTCCATTCCATTCTCACTCCCACTCTCCTGCATAGCTGGCCCCAAAGTCATCTCCCATAGCAGAGAAATGGATGTCTTAAACTGGCATGAGCAAATCCAGTTCAAATCCTCATCTACATATTGTGTTATTAGACCTCAGCCTCCCTTGCAGTACAAGGCAGTAGACATGTAGGATACAGGACATTTGTAGCGCTGTGTAGAAGGAGGGAAATTTTGGCCAAAGTACTGAGAAAATATATGGGATCTTGAATTTTGAAGGGAGTAAAACACACCTCATTTTTTAGACAGTTTGTTCAAAATGACAAAATCTGTCATTTTTGACATCTCCTGACAAAAATGACGTTCTTAGAAAGAGAAACTTAGATGAAATCCATGAAATTAACTTTTTTAACTGCTGAAAAAAACAAAGTAAATGTCCTCAGACAAGTAATTTTAAACTGACTGCCTAGGTTTGGCTTTCATTTTTTGTACTGTCAGGCTTGCTTGATCAGAGTACTTGTGAGGAGAAATATTTTCCAGAATCAATTTAACTTCTCCATTTCTAAATATTTCTTTTCAGGAATTTGGTATTATAGCGAGCAAAATCTGGTCTTTTAAATACTTGGACACTGTGTATACATGGTCAATAAGGAAAAATATGAGGAAAGTAAGAAGAGGGGGTGAAAAAGGACAGGAACCTAGCAAATTCCCTCAAAAGCCTGACCAGTGGTTTGAATGTCTCCTGCTGTTTTGATCTCTCTATCTTATATCTGGTTCTTCCCAGCTCAGACCTTCACCTCAATATTCCAGTGTTTCCTCCCTTTCGAGTTCCTACCTTGAGCTCAGGTAGTTATTATTATAAACAGGGTGATTATTAAGAGGTTATATGTACGGGGGTTTGAGTGAAACGCACAATAAACACACCCTCTCCTCTTCCAGCTTTGTATCTTTGAAGTGGTCCTTTCCTGAGATGGCAGAAGGACATCCAGTCACCGAAAGGAGCTGGAAGGCTGCTGAGGGTAAATACCACGGCTGGAAGTCTGCCGCTGTTGTTGCAGAGCACTGCCAAAGGGAAACTGAACAGAAAAGCAATCAAAACCTACCAATAGGCATCACTTCTTTGATGCAGCCAAACTGTTCATGAATGAGTAGTGGTGAGCTGTAGTACCGTCGAAATCCCTTTGGCTGGAGGGAGAGAAAGCAAAAACAAATGAAGTGCATTGCTGCCATGCCTGGTGTAGTAGAAATAACCTCAGCTCTTCAGCTAGTGACGGTAACAGTGTGGCGAGGCTGGAAATGTGCCTCCTGTTGTTGAGTCACTGTGGGGTTTATAGATCAGGGATTTATTTGATTTTTCTCCTGGAAAAAAAAAAAAAAATCCCGTATTTATGTGGAAGGAAGAGGGACTCATTTTCAGCCTCTCTTTTTCTTTTGTCTTTCTTACACAAAAGCAGCACTAATTAATTGCAGCAGAAGTGCTGAATCATTAGAGGTTCTGGGAAGTTTCCCTCTCCTCTTCTTATATAATATGAATTTGCATTGTTTTGCATTTGCTAAACATACAACTATTCTTCCCCAGCCTAACTCCAAATCATCATGTTCCCACGTACGCACTTGTGAAACCCAAGGAATTTAGAGCCTTTCTATAGGTTTTTCTAGAGTGTGCTGCTGACTGACTGCGGCTTCCACTTCTTTTTTGTCCTGTAAGGTCAACAAACTCCTCAAGCCATCACCAGATGAGTACCCAAAATGAAGGTGCTAACATCTAAGTCTTTGGAAATGCCCTTCAAGGTACTGGAGATTCACAAATGGTCCCTCAGATTTCTAACCCTTGCAGGCTGTGAGAACTTCCAGTCACAGTGAGAAGAGGAAAAGCCTCATGGGGACGTGCATATTTTCTGTATCCTATGTTCAGTACACATCAAAAAATGGTAGACAACTAGTTGCTAATGAGAAGAGTTTGCTAATGAGCTGCAGTATGGATTGACAAGGAATGAGAGGACTGATAAATTTGTTTTCTTAGAGGAATAAATTCCAGATTCCCCAGCTTCAGTTTGCCCACAAACAAACTAGATTCAGACACAACATGAGCTCATAGAACTCCCATGACTTTGCTGGACAACTTCTTGCTTTAAATTTGGCCTCTACTTTTCTGCTTTTGTAAATTAGTAACCACAACAGCTGAGTCTGGAATCGAAAAATGCGTGAAACAATTCACGTGATTTAATATTTGGCTTGTCCAAGGCTTGCAGTGAGGTCATTCAGCTCCTCACAGACCAACTTCCTATACCAGAATGCCTCACACTAGGGCTATGATTGTGGTTCAAATGCATAAAGATTTGTCACAGATGTATAAACAACAATAACATTCACTGAATACTCTTGGAGAGAAAAGATCTTTCCAGGGAAAGCTGGGTTTTCTGTCCCTTTTGAAGTCAATGCTTGATTTTTTTCATTATTTAACACAGTAAAACTCTGTTTTTTAGCTCATATTTGTCTCAGGTCGCTTCAGGTTTCAACAAATCTGCAAACATCTGAGACATGAATATATGTATTCAGTTTTCATATTCCAAATGGTCATTTTTCCAAGTTCTTTTTTCAGAAGTAACCAAAAGACCCATATTCCCATAGAAATAATCCAGCTGGGCTAGAACTGTCTCAAACACAGTATCTTGCCTTTGCCAATAATGAGAATTTGCTATTTAGAAGGTGACTTGGTCACTAAGGTGCTGTGTCCATACCGGGGCAGGTCTCCTCCCAGCCTCTCCTACTGAGAGATTGCTTCAAACTCTGTAGTGTTTCACTGTGAAATATGCTTTGGTTTTCTTTTTAAGATGAATTATGGCTTTTCATCAAGTCCTAACAGTGGGGACTTGCTGCCCTGAGCTGCTGACTTACCAGCTTGCCCATGCAACGCTGCTGTCCGATACTGTCTGCACACTTATGGTGGATGCTCATCTTACAAGCCTTACAGCGCAGTCCATGCTTAGCGTTTGTCCCTGTGAAATGCACAGAAGTTATTTAATTAGACAAAATCAATAGTTTCCATGCATTTAATGAATGACCTGAAAGAACTGATGGGGAGGTCAGTCACAGTAGAGTAAATATTGACAGCATTCTTCGCCTTGCCTACTTTTTTTACACATATTTATGCATGCATTTTCTTTACAGCCTTTCCTTTGTAGGCATTTCTCCCCCAGGAGAGCCTCTTTCCTAGGCTACTGCTGCCTTCAGATATGTATTGCGTTATGCTCTGTTGTATGATAGTCTTATCAGTGACGTCTCTGCCTCATGAACATCAAGCAAAATCCCTTTGCTGTTTTGAAAGGGCTTGACATGAAAGCCATTCATGGCTGAGGGAGCCGCTGAAGGAGCACCCAGGCTCTGGAGCTGCGCTGGGGAGCCAGGCCATCCTGTCCCCAGTGGAGGGACAGGTTTTGTGGCTGAGAGGGAGCTCCAGGGGTGTGTGAGAGGGCTAAGCCAGCTCCCTTACCATTGCCCACCCATGCACCCAGGGACTGCCGCTTTCTCCTCCCTGGGCCAATGCTCAGAGGCTGCACGAAAGGCTCCTTGCATGCCCCCAAGCAGGGCAGTGAGGATGCCATGGGTCTGACCTTGCTCTCCTTCACTGGCAGTGGAAAAGTTCAGCGATGCAGGTAGGGGAGCTCTGGGCGAAATTTTGCCTTACAGAAGCAGACTTTTCCCACTTGAGCAACAGTTGTTCTGCACTATCTTCAATGTGGACCTACTCTTAAATGACAGAGCCCAGTTCGTTTGCTTGCAGGCAGGAACAGTCACTCTTATTCATACACCCGTAAGACTTCTTAAACTACGCAGAAGCAGTTAAGCTGCAGCTACTCGTTTATCCGCATGGGACTGTATAAATGGAAGGGGTAAACAACATGTCAGTTCATCATCATCTACTGTGAGAGTGAGTAAGAAACAAGGTAGTAAAAAAGCCTGAAAAAACTCTTGACATTTTAACCGGCCCTCATTAGTCAGAGATGATAGGAGTATTAGTCAGAAGGATCCTGCATCTGAAAGTACTCATGTAGCTCTTGGTTACTTGAGTAGTTAACACCATGTACACACTGCTACCTTCATCAGTAAAATTCTACCTCTGAAAGAAGCACTTCAGGAAAGGGCTCATCAAGTTGGTGACAAAACCTGAGCCTGGACAGGACTCCTTTCAGGGGAAGAGGTCCCTGACGCGGCCGCTTTCAAGCAAGGCAGGCTGAGGAGCTGGGGGTGGCTGAAGTGAGCCAGGCTCAGATATTTCACTTGTGCTCTTCTTGTAGGACATGGAAGCGACATCTTCCCCACCTTCCTACTGAGACTGATGGAGAGATGGGGAATGAATGAGGATGAGTGTGCGGTGCACCCTGAGGACTTCAATGGTGTGGGGTCAGCACCTGATCCCTGCTTGTTGCCTGCCCAGCCCCTCTTGGCTGAGCTGATGCACGGTGCCTCACTGCTCGGGTACGTGCAGATGTCTAGTCTCATTCCTGGGGTCTTTTTTTCCTAGTAAACACAGGATTTACTAGAAGAACACATCCCTGTTTGGTGGTTTTTGGTTTTGTTTTTTTTTTCCCCTGCATCGTTGTACTCGGATTACTGTGCTGTGAAGATTTTTTCAGTTATAGCTTCTTTTCAATAACACATGATGAAACCAATATTGACTTCTGCGGCTTTGTGCTTTTATTACTGATGATGAAATGCTGAATCACTCTTCCTGATGGTCAGCAACAGACACAAGTTGAGAAAACAGGACTTCCTCCACATTTTTTATTATATATATAGGGTAGAATGAAGAAAAGGAAAATGACACCATACTTTGCATATACAACACGTATTTAGCATCAGTGCTTACACTGGGTCTAATTCTCCTCTCACACTGGTCTGTACTGGCTAACTCTTCCCCGCTTTACCAAGTTACTCCTGAGACTCAGCTGAAAAGGCAGTCAGTCTCAGACCTTTCTGCTGGCTGCTCTTCCAGCCATTTTAGTGTTAACATCACAAGGCAGATACTGGTCCTTACGTGTTACAACAACGTGGTCACAGAACATGTACGTTTTTCAATAAAACCGTGCATCTGAATGACTTGCAAAATTAATGCAAAGTATCTGTGCTACTTTCAAAAATCAAACCCCAACTTCTTCAGAACAGAAATCTGTGGTCATGTGAAAATGAGTAAGACAATAAATTACAAAAGAGCAACACTGTATTTCTATTGCTGAATTGCATTTGTTACCTGTGGGTAGGGAAGTAGTGACTTCAAAGAGAGGAAAAGTATTTCAGTTACACACTTGAGTCTACAAGACGTCTTTGTAAATTAAAATTTGAATTCTCTTTAACTACCAAAAGCTTCAATCTTTAATTCACTGTCATTTCTAACTACTTGGTTTACTGTGGGACTAGGCAGCTTAGAAATAATTTACATGTATCTCCCTGCTTCCCACTGAGGAATAACTAAAGGCCTTAAAGAAGAAGCATTTATTCTGTATTTACACTTAACTGACATACCTCAGGCTCTGCAAATGACATTTCTACAAGACACATTTTCTTTTTTCCTGAGGACAGTTCTTCTTCAGTTTCTGATACCCATCACACTAAATCAAGTCTCCTCAGAGAATCATGGCCAAGCTATTTCAAAACCATGTGCCAGTGACTGGACAACTACATATTGGCAATGTATCTGACCAAAAAGTTCCTGAGATTCAGAGCTGAGGCACAGCCACAGCTCACATTATGGAGAAGAACAGATCCACAGTCAGTATAGGTGTAAATGAGACCAGAGTTTGACCTGCTTCATCAATTTTTGGCCTCCCATGTAAGCAAGCTTGTTGACTTCGCAGTTGCCTGAATGGGGCTGGTTTTGGAAGGCATCCTGGTAGTTTGAAATGGAGAAAAAGCATGTAGAACTTAGATCTTGCAGACAAGTTATGTAAAAGTGAGTGAGTACAGTGAAAGTCCTACAGTCATGCCAGGATATATCAATGTGTTGAAACATTATTTGTCAATGAATTCCCCCAGAGAGCAGGAGAAAGCTATGAATTTGGTCTGAACATATATTAAATAGTAGAAAATAAGTGGTATTAAGTGAAAAATTATGATGATAATAATAATAATAGTAATAACAACAACACAATGTGGATTTGAGGGGCATTTGTATCATTTCACTTATCTGCCATAGGGTACCAGGGCTTGTTTGAAGTTGAAAGCCTCTCTGTGGTGTGCTTTTTCCCACTGGGTTAATCCCTCTGTAGATTGAAGCACGGGGAAGGGGAAGAGTTAAGGAGAAAGTTCACATCTGAGATGGCTGCAGCAGTGTCTAGAAGGGCCAGCATTCCTGAAGAAGTAGCAAAGTCTGGAATACTAAAACATTCTCCTCAGGGACTTCTGGTGAACATACTCTGATGACCTGCAAGCCTGACCATCACTCTCATGTATGCTTCCTGCCACCCTAAATGGCTGGCAGCCTGACTGCAGTCCACCATTTATTCTCATTAGTAGATATTCCCCTACACCAACCTCAAAGCACAGCTGGAAGCTACTGGTACAAAGTACTCACTGAAATGTCTTAGCCCACCTGGAATCATTTAAATTTGTGGTGGATCAGAAGTAAAAGAATTGATTATTGTTAGCAATTAAGCTAAACTTGGAGTACTCTAACTACTTTTTTCTCTGGTTTTCATTCAAAGGGGTAGTAGACTAACAGTTTTGATGGACTCTTTGTTATTACCTTCAAAAGGTAATCATCCCTCCCCCGCTCTTGTCCAAAGACCCTTACTAAGGTTACTTAATCAAACTGTCAAATGCTGAGCGTGTAAGAACAAAGGTTCTGCTCAGCCACTTTTTGATTGCAATCTAGGGATGTGATTGTCATTATTTTTAGTCAAGGTACACTACTTCATTCACTGAACAGGGTGGACAGTAGAATGGAAAGTACCGGACATGTTTAGCTGACTTATAGCTGACTTAGCCCATAAACATAACTGTAAATGTAGTAATGAAATTCATATAGGAAAAAACCACACATACATTTGCTCATATATCATCTGTGTCCTATGTATTAATGTATCTATTAATTATCTCACCGTCTGTAAAGGCTGGTATTCCTTTTGCAAATGAAAAGGCCAAAACTGACAAAAGAAACAGTGCTTCATTGGAAGCAAATGAAGAAATTTCGTGTCAGGATACCCAAGTAGCTCTTAAATAAACTTACAAATAATGTTCTGCCACAGTCACTTTCTTCAGATACCAGCTAATGCATCCAGACACCCGTCACTGGAAGGACGCATTGTTTTGAGAAGCAGGTCATGTTTAATAACGCCTTGCTAGAAATACTCTATGACTGAGTCAGCTCCCATTTGAATATCTAAACCTGTGGCTAGGTTTTCCAGAACAGCCATGGAAAATTGAATCTTAAACTGTTCTGGTAATCTGACCCTAAATACTACCAAAAGGACACACTGCATCGCTTTTGTAAATCTAAGCCTTTTTTGGAGGAAGCCTAAATGGAAACAGAACACCTCAATATAGGTGAATGGAAAGATTTGGAGGCAGAGAAAGACAGAGGAGACAGAAAGGGCAGAATTTGATTCCAAGTCTTTATGTCTCTCTCCCCTATAGAAGTAATTTAGTAACTACTCGGCATTTCAGGAAAGTGACATTTTTCCTAAGGAATGCAAATGAGAATTGTGTTTGTCACACACATGCAAAGGGAACCTTTATCATCCTCTTGGCCAGCACAGCTGTGGCTGCAGCACTGTTGGCTGATGCTTTTTGCCTATTGTTTCAAGGCCCAATATAAGATTAATAGCTAGAGAGGGACAAAGAGCCCTATAACCTGGAGAAATTTGAAAGAAAACTGCAAATTTTGGTAACAACATGATGTCATGCTGCCTGTATAAAGATAACTATATTAGACACTTATGCTAAAGTGGGGGGGGGAAAAAAAAAGGAGAGGATAAAAAGATTCAGGTCTAAAAGAGAGAAAGAATGGGAAAGAGACACAGAGACTCCAGCTAATCTAGCTATGATCCAACCACTATTTTTTATTGTTCCAGCTAAGAGGAACGTGCCAGTCAGAAATTGTTTTGATTTAAAGCTTTCATAAATAAATAAATTTAAAATTACATATTTTCCACAGAACTTCAACTTCTGCTGTGGGAGGCTGATAAAAATAATGAGTGCCTTGCCCCTTTCTCCCCAAGCGCATTTGCAATTGTCACCGGAAAGCTGTCTCCATGCCAGAATTTATGGGAAATGGAGATTTTTAAGCTAGCTGGGCCAGTATCATAGCAATGAAAGGTTTAGGATGTCACCTTAGAAGGAGAAAGAAAAGTCCCTGAAATGGCACTGGTACCCCTGCAGTCATCTCTAAACCTTTGACCAACTTCATCTCCCATTCTCTTCTTCATTTTTAATTAATTGTTTTTGTGTAAAAGCTCTGATACTGAAAGGGAGACTATTTTTAAAAATTCCTCTATGGATACTTCCTGCACCCGGCGGCTGGCTGCTCCTGGACAAGCACTCACCCTCCTCCTTCTCCTGCTATGCCTTGGTTGAGAGCTGTGGATGGATCAGAGAATGGTATTTTCCA